TCCATCTGCACCCATAGATGTCTATCTAAATCAAAACATAGCCCCATCTTTTCTGAGCATTTTGTTTTTTTATTCACGTTTCTAGCTCTGTTATTTAATGAAATATGGAGTTTGAAGTTAAAAGCGTTTATTTGAGATTATTCAAGAAAAAGTTTCGGAAGTTAACAAAACAAAAATAAAATTATTGAAAAAATAATGTGGAAAAAAAAAAACATTCAATATCGGGTGTTTCTTCCCCTACTCTCTATTACCGCTTGACATCGACGACCCATACTTTGAACCAGACGTCTTATTTGTTCTTGATCGATATTAATCCAAATTTCTCGAACAAAGTTTTCTACATCATTCAAAGACACAGGTAGGGGTTGATGATCTCTAAGCTGCCTACCAATTTGATCCCATAAATGTTCTATAGGATTGAGATCTGGACTGCGTGAAGGCCAGTCCAGAGTCTCAATATCCACCTCATTCAAATAATCTCGCACTATTCTCGCAGTGTGTGGTCTGGCGTTATCTTGCATTAGTAAAAAGTTATCCCCAATATACCCAGCGAAAGGGACCACATGCTCTGACAAAATTTCCGTGATGTACCTTGCACTATTTAAAGGTCCTCCACGCAAAGACACGATGTCAGTACGAGCAGTTAAAGAGATTCCGCCCCAAAACATCACAGACCCTCCATTGAATAACTCGGTTTGGCGAATATTACACTGCGAGTAACGTTCATTTGGTCGTCGAATAACCCTTACTCGTCGGTCGTTGCTGTAAAGACAAAACCTTGTCTCATCTGTAAACAGAACTCGCTCCCAATCTTCAGCATTCCAGTTTACATGTTCCCTGGCAAATTGAAGTCTTGCTCGTATATGGTCTGCATTTAACCTTGGTCCTCTTGCTGGAATTCTGAACCTTAAATTTCTTTCTGCCAGACGTCTCCTTACAGTTGATACACTAACGTTGATATTGTGAGCAGTATTTAATTGTACCCTTAGTTGTCTTGAGGTCACAAAACGTTGCCTCAACGCATTCAGTTGCAAAAATCGGTCATGGATAGCCGCTGTTCCCCGAGTTCTTCCTTGTCCACGGCGCCTGTTGTGGTCATTGGTTTCTTCAAAACGGCGAAATATGCGCAATATTGTCGAATGAGAAACACCCAATCTTCTACCTACAGCTCGGTAGCCCATTCCTTCCTGGATCAATGTAGTCGCCATCACACATTCATCTCGAGTTAAATTTCTTGTTTGACGCTCCATATTTTGCAATGATAACACCAAATGCAGAGAAATTACAGAATAAATTCAAAAATCACTGACAGATAAAGACAGTAGTCTCTGTTTCCATGACAATATCGCGCCTTTGTTTTCCATGGCCTACTTAGATTTACTTACCTGACGGTTATAACTCTTCTTCTTCTTCTTTCTTCTTTTTTCCACATTATTTTTTCAATAATTTTGTTTTTGTTTTGTTAACTTCCGAAACTTTTTCTTGAATAATCTCAAATAAACGCTTTTGACTTCAAGCTCCATATTTCATTAAATAACAGAGCTAGAAACGTGAATAAAAAAACAAAATGCTCAGAAAAGATGGGGCTATGTTTTGATTTAGATAGACATCTATTGGTGCAGATGGAAAGTCCCACAGGATGTGACAAAAATTAGGCATCAAACTGGTTCTTTTAAAACACCCTGTATATGCCTAAAACTTCGATTCAAATGAAAAGTTGTTTTACAGAGTCATTCCTGAAGATTTAAGCTACAATTAAAAAAAAAATATGTCCAAATCGATTCAGCAGTTTCCGAGAAAATTAAATTTGAAATTGTGCCAAATTTTAGTGGTGCGTTAATTTTGATGCGAAGTGTATTAGTCCCATTGAAATCATTCACTCTGTCCAAGTAACCAGTAAAGTACTCTAAAAATCTAGCATCTTGACTATGTGGCGGATGATACAAAACAGTACATAAATATTTTCGACCTGATATAGTAATTTCAAGGGACAACAACCAAACATAGTTCTGAATACATTCATTCGTCTTAAGTTTATATTTAATGTCATTTCTTACCAATGCCATCAATCCACCAGTTCTTGGATTTGCTGATAAACACTGTTTAATTCGGTAACCATCCATTTTCAACTCTGAATAGTCAATGCTTGCTGTTACGTGTGTTTCTGATAAAAATACTAATTTGGGTTTCCAGTCATTAATCAGAACATTGATATTGTCTTTGTTATTCAAAAACCCTTGGCAATTAAAATAAACATGACCCGATTTAAAAGCGACATCCATTTCTATTTGCTATTTATTGAACTTATTCATTTGCATCTGTTCAAAACGCTTATATACATCACAGTTTTGCACATCCCAAGCTACATGATTGGTATCTAATCTTAGTCCGTATTTATTGTTTGACATAACACAGTTTACACACTTATTTGTTTCATTAGTACAGTCTTTCAGTTCATGTTCTTCACTGCATTTTGAACAGGTAATTTTTTCTTTACATTCCTTACTTAAGTGCCCGTATTTGCAACAATTAAAGCACCTTAAAATGCCATAGTCACTGTATACGGGACAACGGTTCCATCCTATATTTATTCTTTCCATTTCAGTGAATAATTTTTAAGTACTTGTGTCTACCTCTAATATTATATTAAACCTTCTGTTAAACACTTTTGTTTTTCTTAAAACCTGTAAATTAAATTCGGCTTCCTGGGGTTGTAAGTTGTTCTGTTTGACTATTTTTTGTACAATATCCTCAGGTTCATGATCGTACTCAGTTTCCTCTATTCCAACAACTTTTATTCGGTGCTCTTTTATTTTTGGGCGATCGACACTGTACTTATCACCAAGTTTGTTTTGTATTTGAGACTGAATATGTTCAATCTTCTGTTGACCATTGCAATTCAAAATAATACCTCCATCTTTTGTTGCCCTACCCATTGAGAGGCCAATACCGATTTCAGTTGGATTTACCTTGTTTTTTAAATCCTGTTTCACTACAGAAATATCATTTTGTGTCGATTTTTGCTTAACAAGTAATATTTTGTTGTCGTTTTTGGTGGCAGACGAATAAGTTTTTTCCATTGTAATAGGAATAGGTCTAATATTTTCCTGACTTTTAATTTCCTTCAATTTTAATATTTCCTCTTTTAAGCTGCTGTTTTCGGCTATCAAATGGTCCACTTTAGTATTTAATTCATTCGTAGTTTTTACTAATATTTCTAGCCTTGCATTAATCGAATCCACCAAACTTGCCTCCACGTAAAGATCTTCAGTACGACTCCTTTTCCTCGGACGTTCTTGTTTGTTTACATCGCTGCCCTTAACCTCACTTAGTATTGGACGGCAAAGCTTGCATTTCCAAGTGGTTTTTTTTCATATGGAAACCCTCTAAGGTCAATATTTTCACATTTCCCGTGGTAGCACTGATTGCAAACTGTACACTGAATCACTGTTCTAATATCTTCAAACAGTTCTTTACACGAAAAACACTTATTTATATCGGGACTGTTCACTGCATCAACAATAACATGATCCGCCACGTCATCTTATTTACTATTATTATGTTTATGATTATTCTGTTTTAATTAAACCACTTCGAAAAATGTATACCTACGAGTTCCATGAAACAGAATAAGATGCACTGGACATACGCACACCGTACATTCAAGAAATGTGATCGATTTAAAATCATTATGATATACTATACAAAAATAATTGGTCACCAACTCCATCCATCGCATTTGAAATTTCTTCACTAAAATAACATCTATACAACTTATCTCACTGTTACATTTTACATTTAATGTATAATGTACATTTAAATCAAAAATTATGCTGTTTTTCGTACAACTCCTAATAAATATTTTCCATATTATAATTATTTTGATGGACTTGATTTAAAAAAAAAGCGCGCGAAGCGCGCTCATGACCTAGTAGAAATAAATTTGATTTAAACTGATTATCTAGTTTCTTTTGAATTAATGATTATAAGAAGTTTTGGATAGGACATTTTCAGCGTCACTTGTAAGTTGGGGTGATACAGACAATGCGAACGCAGACTTTAAAAGTTTTAAAGATCAATTATTCAATCTCGGAGAACTGCAAAATCCCCTTGAAAGTAATTATTATCGATATCAGAACTGGTGCATATCGGAAATATACCGGGTGGGCCAGCGAAAACGAAACAAGGTCGATATCTCGTATCCATCGTTCATTGAAAAAAATCTCTCGGACCCGTTGATTTTTATTCGGAGGGGGAAATCTTTTGCACATATTTTCAATGTTGTTACTTCACTCCTCTCGCGGGGGTAAGCTCCAACCCTTAAATCTCAAATGGCAGTAGGGGTCAAGCGATACCTTATTTCAAAGGTCATCGAATTCTCTTTTCAACGGTGCCTATTTTTTTGAATTTGATGCAGTGGTTTCCGAGAAAACGCGTACTGTTTTAGTCATTTTGACCACTATCAATTTTGTAGTTATAACATTTTTTACTTAAGAAGTGATTTTATGTGTTTTTTTTTAAAGTTGTGTGCTATCCAACTTGAAATCACAAGGTTTAAGTCTAGTTTTTTTTTTATCACTCAATAAAATTCAACTAAATACATTCCAATTTTAAAAAAAAATTGAAAAAAAAAAAAGTAAATTCAAAAAAATAGGCACCGTTGAAAAGAGAATTCGATGACCTTTGAAATCAGGTATCGCTCGACCCCTACTGCCATTTAAGATTTAAGGGTTGGAGCTTACCCACGCGAGAGGGGTGAAGTGACAACATTGAAAATATGTGCAAAAGATTTCCCCCTCCGAATAAAAATCGACGGGTCCGAGCGATTTTTTTCAATGAACGATGAATATGAGATATCGATCTTGTTTCGTTTTCGCTGGCCCACCCTTATACAGGCGGATCATGATTTCCTGAGTCATGGACCGTATATGTACGAAAGTATTTTAGTGAGGTATTGACGATACAGTAGCTTCTACTGCTTTTGTTTGTGAACATCAGAAATGTGGTAATCATATTCATGTATGGTCAGCAATAACAAAAACTTTCGCTGTCTTCAAATTTTGAAGCAATAAAGTTTGCTAGTTTCTCAACAAATGTGATATTGCCATTTTGGTTTCAACATCAATTTTTCATCGACGACATTTAGGACGATCAATAACTTTCTGTAATTTTTCAGATTCAAATAAATAATGAGATAAAGAGATTATACATGCTGCAATTTGCTGCAATCCATTTTTGCAGACTCTACCAGAATCATCATTAAATCCTTCTGGCTGTTTCATGTTTTCCATAAAGCAATGCAGTTTTAACGTCAAATTGCGAAAGTTCCAACTTTTCAGATGCTATGATAACACTAAGAGTTTTTATGAGTTTGTTGAACCTTGTAGCTGGGTTGAAAGTTTCTTCATAGGCAACGCCCGATTATTGTATCGTGGCCTGAATTGTACTAGAGTTGTATCCATATCCATTTTCTTTCCATTTGGCAATACTACAAGAGACCAAGTTTAATTCTCAGCTAACGACATCATCTCTTCCTCCTTTATTGCTTTGCGCCAATATACACAACAAACACATTCTATTCATTTGCGTTGGTTTTCTTTACTCAGGTTCAGCTAAGATGATTTCCCATGATCACCGCACTCGCTATGGCAACCGCGGAATTATGTACTTGTGCTCGCAAACCAAATATAGCGTCCACTATACATACATAGTTCAAGTATCTCTTCACCTGTTTGATTTAAACTACATAGTCTTAATCAGACCCTGCTTCATGGTTCATAAATTGTTATTATCATTTCCAATACATTTCAATGCTCGTCAAATTTAGACTCAGACTGTCTATTTTTGTTGCACAGTATGCAAGTTCTCTGATAATCATGTTTCTACACAAGATCTTACAATTCAACATTCTTCACTCTTTTTCATCTTATGATTTAGATTTTGGAAAACTTTGAAAGGTCATAACTGTTTTTCTATTATAGACAGGAAGCTGAAACTTTCACTGAATTTTATCCCAATCAAGGGACTACTTACTATCCCTGAAAATTCTAGCTCATTTGCACTTATAGTTCCTGAAATAAAATCGTGTTAAGCAATTTGGGGTGATTTATCAATTTTTCAATTTTTCTGAGTGCCTTTTTCCATAGATTTCGGCTTCAAATCTGAGAATAATTTAGTGTATGGAGTTTGGGGGATGTTGATTGACCATTAGGATACAAAATCTCGACAAAAAAAAATTTGAAACTTCATCGTTTTAGTAAGAAGGTACCTACCTTATGATTTAGATTTTGTAAAACTTTGAAAGGTTATAACTTTTTCTCTATATAATAGATAGAAAGCTGAAACTTTCACTGAATTTTATCCCAATCAAGGGTCTACAATCCCTGAAAATTTTAGCACACTTGCACTTATAGTTCCTGAGATACAATTGTATTAAGCAATTTGGGGTGATTTATCAATTTTTCAATTTTTCTGAGTGCCTTTTTTCATAGATTTCGGTTTCAAATCTGAGAATAATTTAGTATATGGAGTTTGGGGGATGTTAATTGACTATTAGGATACAAAACCTAGACGCAAAAAATTTGAAATTTTATCGGTTTAGTAAGAAGGTACCTATCTTATGATTTAGATTTTGGGAAACTTTGAAAGGTCATAACTTGTTTTCTGTTATAGATAGAAAGCTGAAACTTTCAATGAATTTTATCCCAATCAAGGGACTATAATCCCTGGAAATTTCAGCTCATTTGCACTTATAGTTCCTGAGATAAAATCGTGTTAAGCAATTTGGGATGATTAATCAATTTTTCAATTTTTTCGACTGCATTTTTTCATAGATTTCGACTTCAAATCTGAGAATAATTTAGTGTATGGAGTTTGGGGGATGTTGATTGACCATTAGTATACAAAATCTCGACAAAAAAAAATTTGAAATTTCATCGTTTTAGTAAGAAGGTACCTATCTTATGATTTAGATTTTGGAAAACTTTGAAAGGTCATAACTTTTTTTCCATTATAGATAGAGAGTTGAAACTTTCACTGAAATTTATCCCAATCAAAGGACTACAATCCCTGAAAATTTCAGCTCATTTGCACTTATAGTTCCTGAGATAAAATCGTGTTGAGCAATTTGGGGTGATTTATCAATTTTTCAATTTTTCTGAGTGCCTTTTTTTATAGATTTCGGCTTCAAATCTGAGAATAATTTAGTGTATGGAGTTTGGGGGATGTTAAAAATACCTACCTTAGATGATCTAAAGAACCTCCTTTTTCCACATTTTCGAAAAACTCTCTGAGATGGACATTACCTACTTAAAAAACACTCTTGAGACGTTTGCTATTGTGGGCTTTAAAAACGTCCTCTACAGTAGTTTCCGACGTTTCGACGTTAAACTGACAGGTATAGGTAGTCATGTATTCATCAATGAGCGTATTCATATAAGAAAAATAGTATTATTATAACAAAGTATTGTCAAGTGACTATCATATTATATTTAATAGAATAAAGATTGATACAGGAAATATAGTCCTTTTGATACATGGTGTCAGGTAGACTAGATTGAGCATTGGAAAACAATAATAAAGTCAAGATACTTAGTTGTTTCTGATCTTTTTTGGGACTTGTATGAGTTGCTTGCCTCTGTTATAATTATTGTAACATTCCAGAAAATCCAAACTGCATTATTCACTACTTGTCCCAGTCATTCACAGGGTAGTTTGAGTTTCCGAAAAAAAAACTCTTGCCATATCAATGACCTGGATGGCAGTCTCCACATTTGTTGATTGTGCTCTTTAGATGTAGTCATTTTGCTTATATAGAGACATTGAACAACATACCCAAAAGCTTTCAATGATGAACTGAAATCCTTACAATTTACTGCTGCTGAATGATGTCATTTATTTTGAGATTTAACCTACTATTCTGAAATACATATTTTTTTTACTTGCTGGCTACTGATTGATATAAGACCGGATCTTACATAAATTTACCTACAATAAAGCAGTTCGCGTCATTTTAATTTCTTGAATTGCTTAAAACCCAATTAAGCGGTAATTTTTCTAGATTTCTATTTAATAGTATTTCGAAAATATATAAGCAAAATATCACCGAAAATTAGGTGTATTTAAATTTTGATACAAAGACAAGAAACATGAAGTTCTTTGGTAAACTTTCGATTATTTTGGGTGTGTTGTGTGCTACTTTGGCAGGTAAGAATCTTAACTTTTATATTTGAGGATGTTTTCTCGTAAAGTTAAGATTAAAATTATATAATTACCATTTCTCACATAAGGAGTATTTTAGAAAAAGTACTTAACTCAAGAAGTAAACACTTTAATGACATTTGATGAGAATTAATGCTTATGCCCTAGTAAGAAACGCCATGAATTTTTGAGATAAAAAACCAACTTGAAACTTCCTCAAATTATTATAAGTAGTAGGTAATAGTATATTACAATCCGAGACGGGAAATGCTTCATTACTGGTCGAGAGGTTTTAATGAACCTCGAGACAGCAATGAAGTTTCCCGTCGAGGGTTGTATACTATTTTATTTTTAACCATAATTTCTTGAAAAAAAAAAATTCGGAGCAACCAAATGAGGTCGGCAAATGAAGAGGAAAATGAGAACGGGAAATATTTCCCTGCTCTATTTTCCGTCCGTGGACGGGAAATGAGGACGGAAAAAATTTCCCGACCTCACTTTCCGTCCTGGGACAGGTAATGGAGCAGGAAAATGAAAAGACAGAAATGTGACATTTTCAAATTTTTGAAAAGTCAGTAATGACAACATTTCATATATATGGTTAAAAATAATAACTTAATACACACTTGATTAAAAAACTTTTTTCACAGCTCCATGTTGTAACCAAAATGGAGGTGGCTTTCCACAATTAGGGTGAGTAAAACTATTGGTTTACTACTTATTAGGCCTAATTTCCATCTTCCAAATCATTTTCTCAGGTATGAATTTATTTTCTTCTGCAAGTTTTTCTTAGGCGTGCCACAATTTGATACATCATATGCTTCTTTTTCCAGTTATAACAAATTTAAGATTTTAGGCTAGTTCTTTTCCTTGTAGGTATAGTTACCTACCTCTATAACCTAGCTTAATCTGCCTACCTACTGCTTCAACAAGTTCAATTTTTTTTTCCATTTTTGCTCAGATTATTACTTTCAGGAGCGGAGCTAACGCCTATTCCCATTCTGATGCATCCTCTTATGCCAACTCCGGAGGATTTGGAGCCGGATCATCTGCTAACAGCCAAGCTAATGTGGGAAATTATTACGGAGGCGGTCACAGTTCTGGCGGAGCAACTACTAACGCTAACAGCCATAATGGAAATTTTGGAGGCGGTCACAGTTCCAGCGGAGCATCTGCTAACGCTAACAGCTATGCAGGAAATTATTTAGGTGGTCACGGTTCTAGCGGAGCATCTGCTAATGCTAACAGCAATGCAGGAAATTTTGGAGGCGATCACGGTTCCAGCAGAGCATCTGCTAACGCTAACAGCTATGCAGGAAATTATTTAGGTGGTCACGGTTCTAGCGGAGCATCTGCTAATGCTAACAGTAATGCTGGAAATTTTGGAGGCAGTCACGGTTCTAGCGGAGCATCTGCTAATGCTAACAGCAATGCAGGAAATTTTGGAGGCGGTCACGGTTCCAGCAGAGCATCTGCTAACGCTAACAGCCATGCTGGAAATTATTTAAGCGGTCACGGTTTTAGCGGAGCATCTTCTAATGCTAATAGTAATGCTGGAAATTTTGGAGGCAGTCACGGTTCTAGCGGAGCATCTGCTAATGCTAACAGCAATGCAGGAAATTTTGGAGGCGGTCACGGTTCCAGCAGAGCATCTGCTAACGCTAACAGCCATGCTGGAAATTATTTAAGCGGTCACGGTTTTAGCGGAGCATCTTCTAATGCTAACAGTAATGCTGGAAGTTTTGGAGGCGGTCACGGTTCCAGCGAAGCATTTGCTAACGCTAACAGTTATGCTAGTTCGTATGGAAAATAGTTAAAAAATGTTAATCAAATAACTTTTGTTCATTATATATTGAAGTCTAATTATTTGTATGATTTATTCACATGAATAAGTTTGAATATCTTGATATCCACCATCCACCTATAATTCATAAACTGCTCGAATTAAATTAAGGATGTTATTTCGTTTGACTGGGATGGAGTGATTTAAGTAAACTAAAGTCTGTTTCATTACAATTTCAAAGACCTCTGTAATGGTTATATGTATTATTTATTGAATATAGGTATATATATTTTTTTTTAATCACATTAGTATATCATTACAGTAAAACTTTCCTAAAGCGATACCTAGGGAAGCTCAGAGACATGTGGTCGAACTAAATTGAACCAGTTTATTTTTCTTATCATCCCTTAAATTGGTGTAAATCCCGGTGGACAGAGACAGAGACTTTTTTTTTGCCAAATTTAAGTTAAAGTTGGTTCAACTTCTCCGTACGTTACGTTGATTTTCTCAATTTTTAAGTGGATGTGAGCAACTACATATAAGTATATGATCTTCAACTTTTCTTTATTATTAATTTTCCGTACGATAAGTAAAGTTAAGTGGATGTAAAGGACCCTTTTTTAGGATTAGATGGATGTCTAGCTTTAGACTTAGTTACAACAATTGATAATTATTGTAGTTTACATTTTGACAATGAATAGGATATTGTGAAAATGGATCCTCAAGTTTTGAATGGGTTAATACAGGTACTGTAGACAATACCAGTGCCGGTAGTTGTCAGTTGACAAGTTCTGTCATGTAGCTGCCCCTTGCATGTTGCATGGGTCTTAATAAAACAGCACGAGTTAAAACACACTAATAGTTATTTTATTTATATCCCTTGACGATATAGAACATGGTGTCAGGTTATTAAGTGCTTTTGGTGCTAGTTTTTGTTACAAGTTAGTGAAAAGTTCGCTAATGAACTGTTGTTACGTTGCTTGTGAAAAAGTTACCTAGCCTAGAAACATGGATAGTTTATTTCGGCCCCCGGAGCCCCTTGTTACTGATGGCGATATAGCTGATAATTGAAAAATATTGGTTCAAAAATTTGATGTTTTCTTAACGGCGTCTGGACTGGATAAAAAGCCGGAGGAGTGGCTGTTTTCCTAAATCTTGTAGGAGATGATATGGGCTCGAGTTGTTTAATAGTTTTACATTTACTGAGCAGGAACTTAAATCGCTAGACAGTATAAAGAAAAAATTTCAGGAATACTGTTCTCCTCAAGAAAATGTAATTTTTGAGCGATTCAAATTCAACAGTATTGGCCAAAAAGATGATCAAACTTTTGATAGTTTCTCAACAGAATTGAGAAAAGTACAGGATACTTGCAGCCAGATGAAATGATTAGATACCGTGTGGTGTTATCAAAAATACCCAAAAAAGGCTCCTGAGAGAGTCCAAGCTAACTTTAACCAAAGCAATTAATTTTTGCAGAGCCACTGAGGTTAGCAAAACACAGACCAAGATTTTGCAGAATGAATCACAGAATAATGCAATCAAAACTAGGAAGTATAGTTTCCAAAACAGTAAGAAAAGTAGTACCGCTAATAGTTCAAGTGGTAGCTCAAGTCATGGCCAAAGTTTGTGCAAATTTTGCGGCTATAAACACCTAATAAATGGTAAATGCCCGGCATATGGGAAAACATGTGCAGCTTGCCAACGAAAAATCCATTTTGCAGTAATGTGTCCTGGTGAAGTTTCTAGTAAGCTACACAAAAAATCTAGCGAGAGACAGTCATAAAAAGGAAGACTGTACACGAACTGGAGAAAGAGCACACAACAGGAGGAGAAAGTAGTGACAGCTCTAGTAAAAGTGAGTCTTTCTACGTGGACTCACTGTGTCGAGTCAAATTGATGAGGTGTTCAGTGAGTGCGACAGCAGAGACAATCAAACTGAGATGGAGAATGACTGGAGACAAGTTGTGCAGATCGAGGTAGAATTTGAGCTTCACACTGGGGCTGAGGTTAGTGTTTTGCCTCTACATGTTCTCAAATAGTTAAAAGTTAGTTCTTTTCAAAATCAACCAAAATAACCCTTGTGTCATATGGTTGTAGTGGTTTCAGGATAAAACCTCGGTGTTTGTCTTGCGAAGTCAACAACTGAAAAGAAACTCTTGAGTTTTTGGTTATCTGCTTGTTTAAAGCTAAAACTAATTAAAAGATTAGCTAGTATTAGTCCAGGACTCAATGTCAATTTCAAGTCTCTCGAAGATGTTGAGAAAATGTATGCGTGTTTTTGATGGTTTAGGTCAGTTTTCAACTGAGCATTATATTTCTTTGAAAAAAGATGCAATCTATCATTGAAATTGAAACTAGAGCAACTTGAAGTTCAAGGTGTAATTAAAAAACTTGACGAACCAACTGAGTGGCTGAATCCTTTAGTCATAGTAGAAAAAAGTAATGGAAACTTGGAGGTTGTGCCTAGACCACAAGTATTTGAATAAGGCAATCCAGCATGAACCTTTTTTGATTCCGTCTTCTGAGGAAATTGCTGTCAAATTATGTAATAAAGAAAATTTTTCGTTGCTTGATATGAAAGACGGTTATTTCCAGATCAAAATTGACAATCATAGTTCAAAGTACAAAGCTTTTGGCACACCATTTGGGCGATTTGAATTTTTGCGTTTACCTTTTGGCATTTCTTTCGCCCCGGAAGTTATTCAAAGGAAAATTTATGAAATATTTGGGGACTTGGACGGCGTAGGGCTCTATTTTGATGACCTTATAGTTACAGGTGGAAATCAGTTCGAACACGATCATAATTTACATTTAGTACTTGAACGGGCTCTCAAGTATAATATTAAATTTAATTCTTCGAAAATCCATTTTAAATTGAAAAGTGTAAAATTTATGGGACAAATTTACTCAAAGGCGGGGGTAGAGCCAAATAGAAGTTATGTTAAAGCAATTCTTGATTTGCCAGAGCCAAAAAATAGATTTATTAAGGGTCCTTGGTATGGCAAAGTATTTGGGTAAATTTATACCAAATTTATCAAAGATTACTGCTCCACTGAGAGAGTTAACAAGACTGGATTGTGTTTGGAACTGACAGGACATTCATGAACAGTCTCTTTTTTAACTCAAACAACTTTTAAAATCCGCACCCGTACTGAAATTCTTTGATTCACAGAAAGAAAATGAAATAGAAACTGATGCATCGAAGGACGGTCTTGGTGCCTGCCTTTTGCAGGAGGGACACCTGTGGCATTCGCTTCACGAAGTCTCACTTCAACTGAACAAAAGTACGTGCAAATTGAAAAAGAAATGCTCGCCATTGTTTTTGCATTCCAGAAATTTCATTTCTTCATATGGTTTAAAAATTAAAGTAAATTCAGATCATAAGCCTCTTGAAACCATCATTAAAAAAGATTTAGCCAGTATTTCCCCCCGGTTACAACGAATGAGACTTAAATTACTTAATTATGACTTAGAAGTTCATTATAAGCCAGGAAAATACCTTTATATTGCAGTTTCAACATTATCGCGTGCCTATTTTTTTTAGAAAGGGTTGAAATCAGATAAAGAACTTAATTTTGCAGTACATTCTGTCATTAAGAATATTCCTATGGCTGATGAACGAAAGTTACAATTTAAAAAAGAAATTGAAGAAGATTCAAACTTTAAGCTTATTGTTACTCACTTTTGCATGAAGGGCTGGCCAGAAAATAAAAACAGTTTACCTGATTATACACGTCATTATCACGAAATTAAAGAAAACTTCACTTTTTCAGATGGCTTATTACTCTTTAATGATAAGCTTATAAATAGTACCGACCAGTTTACGTCAGAAAATATTAATGCTTTTACATGAGGGTCACATTGGGTTAGAAAAGTGTAAAAATAGAGCGCGACTTTTACTGGCCAGGTATAAACACATAGAGACATTCATAAATAAGTGCAAACTTTGTGAAGCAAATGCCAGAAAGCAACAGGAAGAGTCCTTGCACTCATTTGTTATACCTGAACGGCCTTGGGAAAGATTAGCGCTTGACATCTTTACATACGCAAATAAAAGTTATCTTGCCATAGATTCTTATTCTAATTGGTTAGAACTACGCCATATTAAAGATAAATCAATCAAGTCAGTCATAAAGTACCTAAAAAATTTTTTTTCAGTTTTTGGATCACCAGACGTGGTAACTTGTGACAATGTACCATTTGACAGTTTTGATTTTAAACACTTTGCGAAAGAATGGAATTTTAAAATAGTCACCAGAAGCCCAAACTATCCACGTTCCAATAGCCTTGCAGAAAAGGAAGTGGGAATAGGCAAAAGTATTGTAAAAAAGGCAATAAAAGGGGAAGAGGAAGTTGAGTATGCTTTGTTGCAATATAGAAACTCCCCTCTTAAAAATATGAGCTATTCCACGTCCCAACTTCTCATGAGTAAAATTTGTAAAACAAAAGTTCCTATAAGTTCTAATTTGTTAAAACCCCGTTTGTGTGAAAATGTAGCTCAAAAGTTAGAAAATAAGCAAACTATCTCTAGAAAGTATTATAATAGAAATTCTAAAGATTTAGTGCCTTTAAAGCCTTACAATGATGTGACTATTTATAATCATGTTGAGAAGAAGTGGGAACCAGGATTGCTAATCAAGCAACATGACTCGCCTCGGTCTTATTTAGTTCAGAACCAATTTGGTCACACCCTAAGACGTAATCGTGTTGATCTGAGGCCTTCTCCAAATAAATATATACCCTCTTCTTCTAAGAGGTTTGACATACCGGATATGACAGAACACAGCAGTGTTTGTCCTAGAATTAGTCTAGAAAATAATTGACCTTGATGTACCTAATGTAAAACCGGCTTCTGAGACCTATAAGAAAAGTTAAAAAACCTATTAAGTGGTTGAATCCTTTGGTTAGTGTCGAGAAATAAAAAATGGTGATTTGAGCTTGTGTCTGGACCCAAAGTTTTTGAATCAATACATACAGCGTGAGACTTTTTTAATTCCAACAGCCGACAAAATTGCTAGTAAACTGAATC